AATAGAAAGCCCCAGGTAAGCCCACAGAGGTGCCCGAGTAGAAAGCCCCAGGTAAGCCCACAGAGGTGCCCGAGTAGAAAGCCCCAGGTAAGCCCACAGAGGTGCCCGAGTAGAAAGCCCCAGGTAAGCCCACATAGGTGCACGAGTAGAAAGCCCCAGGTAAGCCCACAGAGGTGCCTGAGAAGGCAGCTCTTTGGTCACCCAATATGCTCTTCAGACACACCATCCATTATTTAACACAGCTGAACATGGAAGTGTCATACAACACAAATATTGTATTAAACTAGCTGATTTATACGATTTTGTCAAGCCTACACAGAGCTTACGCTGTGGCCCTTGCAAGTGGCCTACACCACTGCGAGCACTGAGACTTGTGCGTGGCTTGCATTGCCATTAAGTCGTTACATTTCTGGGGTGGGGCACGGCAGGCTGCGGTGTAGGCGATGTGGCCACACCGGACCGACACCATGTCTACAGCATAGATTCTGTGCAGAAGTACAAATCAGCCTTTACAGAAACTAATTAGCGTAAATGCCACAGTTCCATAATGCGATCTGGTTCCAGAGCCAGCCATTAGCATGAGGCCATAATTAAAGACCTGGCAACTGGTGGACAGACATGCAAGTTCATTTCTTTCTTCACCAACAGTTTCATCTGGAGTAACCTTTACAGCTGAGGACTTGACATGTTTACCTGTAGGACCAGGAAAGCAGTTAAGAAGCTGAGATCCTCCGTTAGCACTGCTGAGAGGGCTTTCTCACATAATTAAACTTATAGTATTAGTATTACATGAGCCTTTCATCCTGAATATCCTAAAGGTATCTTCCCCTTTACCATTTATTCAGCTGGATAATTTTACAGATTATTTCTAGTTAAATACCACCTCTCGAGGGTACACCAACACAACACCCCTTTTGGTCACATGGTCAAACCTTTAAGCACCACACTACTTGTCAGTCATTTAAAAAAACACTAATACCTTGAATATTTGGAAAAATACATCCCAGAATTGAAAGTAAACAGTTTCAGCAGCTTTGCTTTGTTTCGGTCCCCAGTGCTCACATCCTGATGCACTCCACAGTACACAGGGTGGTTTCCTCTCTCCTGTCATGTTTTTGACCATAAAGGAGATGAGAGAACATGAAAGTACCACCAAAAAACACCGCCTGCAAAGCAGAATGACTCCAACACCTGTTTACAAGTGTTTCACAGCTAACAGCAGCCTGAGAGCTCAGCCAGGATGACCCCTTGACGGAGCAAACGAGCGCCGCACGGAGCAAACGAGAGCCGCACGGAGCAAACGAGAGCCGCACGGAGCAAACGAGCGCCACTGATTTCAGAGTAGCCTGTCTGTTGCTTAGACCATGACATTTTTGGGGGAAGTTGTCTTGGTCATGTTGAGGTCTCCTGTATGTTAAATACTCCCAATAAATTACACAATGCTGATGAATAAGCCAAGCTCAGAGAACTCACCCCTCCAAAAAAAAAAACTCAGCATGTATTCAGGAAGAATACCTTGACTGCAAAGTATAATAAAAACATGTCCTCCCTCCAGGCACAACCCAGTTACTCATGTGTAATTGATTTTTCAAAAACAAAACAATTGCAAAACCTGATGTCACCTGAAGTGACATCACATGTCCGGTGATGACAGACCACTGACACACTATCACGAGTCCAATGAGATTCTGCTTTACACCCTACCAGATACACAGGTCATTTCCTTCTTTCCACCTCGACGTTACGCCCAGCTGCACCTTCGGGGGACATCTCTGAAAACCACCTGGCAAAGAAAAGTCTGTACTGCCCTGCCTATTACACACTGTAATCTCTGAAGTCTTCTACCCTGAATTATCTACTTTTAAACTATTTCACAACCAGACCACTGCTAAAACACGTGCAAGAACATCAGCAGAACTCACGTTAAGCTGCTAGTGAGTAAATACTTACATTGTCCCTGAGTGGGGAGAATTTCCTTTATCTTTCATGACTAAGCAACTAAACTAAGTTCAGTTTTCTAAACCCACATCCCTCAAAGGAAGGGGAAAGCTATTCATAGTGGAAAACAAGTTACATAAGCTGAGGAGCACAGGTACGGCATGTACAAAATGCCCTACCTTTTTACTGCAACCTAAACTGGGAAGCGCACGGGTGTCCCCCACGCCAGTTTGAAACACGCGCCCGTCCTGCAAAGCCGTGGCCCCACCCTGACGGAGGGTGGCCCGGCCACAGGCACGTGCTCGCAGAAAGGTCGAGGCCGTAACCCAAGACGTGAGAGTACGTGAGGCGCTCACTCTCCTGCCCCAGGGCCAAAGATGTCTCAGTTACATGCAGAAGAGAATGAGAACATCAGATGCCTGACGGTGGACCAATAGGATCATGAACAAAAGAATAAACAAACAACCAAACACCCAGGGAACTACCACCTTCTTTCACTCATGGGGGGGACTTGTCAGTCTGCTTAATTAGAACCAGTGCTGGCACAGCGCCATGGCCCATCACTAGGGAGTCATTGCAAAAATGTATTTACATGTAGGGCATGGAGGACATCTAGACGCTGGCTGTGCCTGGGAACTCCCGATGGCACATCTGCCATCATGAAATGAAGGATCAAAACAGCAGATTATCTGACAGCCTGTTCATGTCATAACCTAGAGCTACAGAAGTGGTGTAGCAGTGCCATCTGCACACAGGTGACTTCAAATGCAGCAATAAAGTACGCCGCTCTGGGCAATACAGCAGCAGCTACCCAAACGAAGTCATGCCCACAGTCACGTCAGCATTTTGGCTCTTTAGACCTGTGCCCTTGCTGAGCCTCCCCACTAACCACTAACAGTTTCCAACTCACTCAAAAAGTAATTTAAGGTCTCTCAAATCCTGTGAAGTGGCTGACAAGCACTGTCTGTCAATATCCATGGTGGCGACGGAACCGCTGACAAGGGCCCAGTAAAAAGCTTCATCTAGGCAGCAAACTCTCCAGAAACTCATATTCACCAGTTAGCACCATGGATATTAAGGAAGGAACTGGGATGGCGAACCGGACGGATATTTTTTCAGAAGGGAACCTGCTGTTGTAACACTGAAAGAGGCACTCGTACGGAAAGCTGGATTTATCAGCGTACGATGTCAAATGTACATTTATTCAATCAGAGTCCATTTGCTGTGACTGGGCTCATTCCCGCAGTGATTCTGTAGGGCTCGCTAAACTGGCTCGCATTCTGGTACCAAATGCAATTTGTTCGTACCATCCTGGCTTAGCAGATAGCTGATGGCATACTAACTTGTGTAACTAATCTTGATTTAACCAGCAGACCATCCAGTGGGAATCCATCTTACACAATGACATTGGCTAATCCAAACTTCTCCGAGGTGCCGGTGGCAAGAGACACTCAGCTGGCCTCACATACTGAGAAACCCCCACCCCCACCCCCCTATCCGGAATAAGTGGTTAGAAGACGGACAAACAGAACTGAGGAAAAGGGACTGAGCCTTAAAAGCATCACGGCCAGCGATAAAAAGGCCTTCCTACCTGCTCGGTGGCAGTGGGGCAGTAGTAGACGAGCACCAGGGTGGTGGCGATGTTGGTAACCAGGCCCACGACGGTGATGAGGTTGGGAGCCACCCAGGGGGGCACGCGCTTCACCAGCCACTCCCAGTAGTGCTGCATGAGGGGCTCGAGCAGCGAGCGTCCCGCACTGCTGTACCGGTGCTCCTCCAGGCGCCTGAGCTGGGCGCGGGACAGTGGAGAGGAAGGCAGCTGCAACAGACTGCTGAGGAAGCAGCTCCCAGCTCCAGCCCCACCCACAGAGCAGACACTGTCCCCCTGAGAGGACAGGGTTCTCCGGGGGGCCTCTGGGCCCGTCTCCCCCATCCGGCCGCTCCGAGTCCTGGGGGTACGATGGCTACTGTTGCCGCTGCTGTTGTTCATTATGGGCTCCAGTCGCGCACAGACTCTCTCTTCCAACGTCTACTGCCTCCGCCCTTCTGGAAAGCACGGCATCTACCGTGAGGCTGAGACCTTCTCCTGGAGAAGAGGGGGAAACGTGGGGGATTTTAGCTGCTATTGATGCAGCACTAAGAGGAATCAAAAAGGTTTCTGCTCAGACTGACAGCCCTGGGTAATCTGACCCAAAGATGGAAGAGGTGATGTGTGTAAGGCAGCAAGGACAAATATTGAGATATCTCAGAACCAAAAGCAAAGGATAACTGACCAGAATGATTTGACTACAGTTACACAGATAATTGTCCATTACATTGCTTCAGAACAAAGCAGGATGAAAATAAGGTTGATGCTATTTTAAACGAAATAACCAGTTATCAAGAGGAGATGATTACCGTTGACCCGGTCCAATGCAACTGAACTATTCCCAATGAGTCAAGCAGCCATATAATGTACAAACTTCACCATTGCTACTTCATTCATTGATTTTTGCAAATGATAATGTTAAAGATTAAGATGTGCGCAGAACGTTACACAGGCCTGACGAGCACACATACCGCAGGAGCAGCGCAGTCTGCCCTACCCTGTTACTTTAATTCCTAAGACAAAAATCCACTTCAAATACGAGGGGAAACTTGAAAGTTAGTTCTAGCCACGTGTTCTTCAGGCTGAATGACAATAACTAGCTACTAAACCAATAACTAGCAACATCGCAACACTTAACGATGCAGACAAAAACAACCCAGAAATAATGGGCTGGCGGTGCAAGTTTTTAGCGACATTGTCAGGGCATGGAAATGACACGGCAGCTCCCGTTCATCATTTCCATATTCCCTCACTGCGATCAGGACGTGCTGTAGTTTTAGTAACCACGTCCAGCAGCTTACGCGTGTCGCGTAAATCTGTAAATAAACAAAGTTAGACATGTAAAATAAAACCCAAATTCGCCGGTTTCATCGCGTTTCCTACGTCCGCTAGCACCGGCTACGGCACCCCGCACGCGTTAGCCTGCTACCCTGCTAGCCTTTTAGCCTCCCGCTTACACATGCGCCTCGGCCAGCTCACATGGCTGCACCAGCGGTAGGCCCTCTGCACACACACTACTTGGCAAAACTCAAAAAATGAGCGACTGGACGCGTAACCGATCGCCCAGTGAAGCACTCACCTTCCGAGTCCTCTGTCCCGAAAAAAAGAAACAGGAATAAACTATCCGAAGAGTCAGCCGGGCTCACAGTGTCCCAGACCCGCAAGGCGGCTACACTTCCCGGGACCTTAAGCTCGGTAACGGACCGGATCGCTGGGGCACTCCTTCGGGTAATATGTCAGATCAGCAAAGAACAACGGCTGGACCGCTAGCCGGTTCCTCCGTTCTGGGAGGGGATTATTTGCTCCGGGCTGTCCTGCTGATACCGGATGGAAATTCCCCAGCGCTGCGCCGCCTTGTGATTGGCAGGGGCGCGGCGAGTCACTTCCGGTTGGCTGTAGCAGCTCAGCCTCCGCTTCAGCTCTAAACCGTATATATGCTTTCAGCGACAGGACTGTACACTATGGAGATACGACGTGCTGGCATCGCGCGCTGCAGGAGCTGGGTCACTTGCGACACAATTTAGTTGTTGTCAGTAGTAAATCAGTCATTTGGGACTAGAAAAATCTCGTGATTGCAGATTTATTTATTTTATATTAATGAGTCCGTGATATGGTATTTCATTTTTTATGCATCTGTTCTTCCGTCATTTTTCCATAACCGTTGTTCGTAGCCAGAGGTGGAGAATTCAGCTCCAGAGAGTACAAATCCAGACCAAGATTTTGTTTCAACCAACCAGTTGAGCACTGTGACTGTGACCCTTTATATATGCTCAACTGGTTGGTTGACAGAAAGTCTTGATCTGGATTTGTATTCTCTGGACATGAAATCTCCACCTCTGTCCGTAACAATATATCTTTAAATTTCCCCTGGGAAATCTTATGTGAAGTATGTCATATAATGGGTATTATATGTAAAAGATGAGTCCCTTTAAGGAGACTGAGTTACGACACTAATTGATTTATCCCGTTTTATGGTTCTATGTAATGCTTTGCGTTAATCAGTACATGTGTTGGTTGTGACCAGTGGACACGTTTTAAGTTGCGAATAAATCCCGTTGTAAATTAACTTTATTTTGGACTTTATAATCGTGTGGACAGAAGAATATTTTACAGTGTATATTATGAACAATAATAATTATAGCGTTCCACTGGGTAGTTCCAGTAATGACATTTTTCATAATGGATCATTCTCGTAAATAATTCTCATCTCATATTTGAATTTAATCTCAGAGCCACCTAGCAAAGTTTTTATAAACAAAAAATAACAAATTATTAACGCGGCATTGAATATAGTGCAAGTACATTAATAGTCCTTGAATTTTGAGTTCATATCTTGTTTTTTTTACTTATTATACAGCTCTGTAACAAAAAGATAAGGAGAGAAAGTTAAAGTTAAGTTGTTTTTCAAGGTTCATGACATGAAAGAGCAAGAAAGAGAAGTCTGACAGGTTTTCTAAAAGAACTGTTTTATTGAGAAATATTTTAATTAATGAGGCGCGATATTTGTGTTTCATAAATCCATCGTGCAATGCTAATATGCTAACCTCTCCGGTAGTGCTACAGGCGTACTGTAGTGCGTGATCTCCTCTCTGCCTGGGTTGTGGTCATACTGTAGCTGGCACCTCTTGGTTTTCAGAACTGCCTCTCCATTTTCTTGATTCTGTCTTTGTTAGTTCTAATCTGTGGCTTAATTTCCTTCTGTTAGATCCTTATCTGCAAAGCCATCACTGAATTTACAAAAACCGTTTGTGTCGCTTTTAATTATTTTGCTTATGATTGTCATAGTCACACAAGCCTGTAAAGGGTCTTGGCTTATCGATGAAGATTTCACCCAGATTTGATTTCCTCAGGCTCTGAGCCCCTACCTGGGCTTGTCATGTTTACCATTTTGAAAGATGGCTGTTTATATGTAAAGATTCCAGATTATTGGTGGATGGGAGAAATTGTGTTCGGCTGTTTATAGCCAAGTGGATAAGGTGAGGGGTAGAAATCAGTTGTGGTCTCTCTGAACAGCATCCAATCCTGCCAACTGTGTAGCTGAGTGTTTGCATGCCAGTGGCCCTGTGCATTAGGACTCTGCCTGTAACTGAATGCTTGTCTGTTCAAATTCCATGACTATAAGAATGATTTGACTGTGGGGTCTTTAAGCAAGGCCCTTAACCCCAGCTGCTATAGGGACACTGGCTGACCCTGC